TTTTTTTGTTTATTGTTTTAAGATTAGCAATTGATTGCATAATTTATCTAATTTAATTTGAGAATGAAATAAAAAATTTTTTACCTTTTCTTTAAATTTAAGTATATATTTTAGATTCAATCCATATTTATGTTAACATAATGTCAAAATCTAATTAGTTGGATTTTTTTACACGTATCAAAATCTTATCGAGATACTTGACACATGTCCCAAAACTTTGAAAACTATTTAAGATTAACATTGAGTAACAAACCATGCGCCACATATTCTATTTTTACTTTGATACATAGGAAAATATACGATCCCAGGCCTGTTAAAACCTATCTACTATACATTTTTGCAGCAGTTTTTGGGGTACCCAAATCGGGTCAAATTTTTTTAATTTTGACCCGGAAATCTTCAATCGGATCTTTCCTTAAATTTTGGCAAAATTAAAAAACGAAAATAATTAATAAAATCTAAAATATATATACTTTCTCAACTAATTACTATATTTAAACGCTTTATTTATGGTATATTCTCCACGATTTTTATAGATAAAGAAATCAAATATGATGATTTAATGCTAATATAACAAATTTGCACTAATTTCCTAAAACCTCTCTACCTAATTTAAACATAAATATATGATTCTTATTTCACTTTTATTTGATCTTATATTTATATTATTTTAAATTATTATAAAATATATAAATAGTTAGTAAATTTTAGTTTTTTTTTTTCTGCATATGTTACAATTCAAATTTTTTAAAACGGACATATATTACTCAATCGATGAATAAAAATATGTGTGTAATCTACTATACATTTTTGCAACACTTTTTGGGATTCCTAATCGGGTCAAATTTTGTTTAATTTTGACCCGGAAATCTTCAATCGGATCTTTCCTTATTTTTGACAAAATTAAAAAACGAAAATTAATCAATAAAATCTAAAATATATATATTTTCTCAACTAATTACTATACCTAAACTCTTTATTTATGGCATATTCTCTACAATTTTTATAGATATAGAAATCAAATATGATTATTTAATGCTAATATAACAAATTTGAACTAATTTCCTAAAACCTCTCTACCTAATTAAAACATAAATATATGATTCTCATTTCACTTTTATATGATCTTATATTTATATTATTTTGAACTATTATAAAATATATATACTTAATAAAAAAATTCGATTTTTTCTGCATATGCTATGATTCAAATTTTTTAAAACGGACATATTACTCAATCGATGAAGAAAAAAGTATGTGTACAATCTATATTAACATTTTTGAAAAACAAATTTGCGCGTTTAATCAGGTCGTATTTTTTTTTTTCTCTGACCCGGAATTGAGTCATTCAGATATTTTCTTAATTTCTACAATTATCTAAAACGGGACAATATACCACGGTGAAATCTTAAAATTAACAAATCGAAATACAATTATTTAGTATTTTAATATACATTTTAAAAATATTTTTACGGGTTGGTCTAAAAACACACACTAATTTGAAAAAATATATATATATATTATAGAAACTATTTGAAAGCAAACTTTTAAATTGACTCGAATTATATGTCTTTTAAATAAAAGTGTTATTAAAAGAAATAACAAAATGATGTTTAATTTTACGGGACATGATTATATGGTGGGACGGGTCGGATTTGGATTGATATTAATACGGGATAATATATCACGGGTGAAATCCTGGGATTAACAAATCAAAATACAATTATACAATTTTAAACACAAAACAAAACAAATACAACTTAAAATTTTCATTTTTAGTTACAACGCATGTGACTCGCAATTTACAACAAAAAATATTATATACAACAAATTCATCAGTTTATAAAAAGACAAAAAAAATCAAATAATTAATCCGCGGTTTACCGCGGGTAACAATCTAGTCTATATTAACATTTTTAAGAACAAATTGAGCATTTAATCATGTCGTTATTTTATTCAGACCCGAAATTGAGTCATTCGGATCTTTCTTTAATTTTTACAATTATCTAAAATGGGACAGTATATCACGGGTGAAATCCTAATTAGTATTTTAAGATACAATTATAAATTGTTTTTACGGGTTGGTCCAAAAACACACACTAATTTAAAAATATACATGGAAACTATTTGAAAGCAACTTTCAAATTAACTCGAATTATATGACATTTAAATAAAAGTGTTATTAAAAAAATAACAAAATGATGTTTAATTTCATTTTAGATTATATGGTTGGACGGGTTTGGGTCAATATTAATACGAGACAATATACCACAGGTGAAATCCTATAAATAACAAATCAAAATACAATTATACAATCTTAAACACTAAACAAAACAAATACAACTTAAAATATTTTATTTTAGATACAACGCATGTGACCCGCGGTATACAACAAAAAATATTATACACAATAAATTCATCAATTTATAAAAATAAAAAAATCAAATAATTAACCCGCGGGTCATATCCTAGTAAAAGAAGTATCTCCCCATCTCCCCTCTTTATTCTTTCTCTGCAATCAAAACAACTTTTCCAATTTTTCAGTTCCGATCTGCTACCATTGACTAATACGACCTTCCAGCTTTAAAACCCTAAAATCGGATCGTTTTCTTCTTTGGTACAGTTGATCAAACTCTAGTTAACTTTATTGTTCTTCATCTTTTGGATTTTAACCAAATAAAAGTGTTCAAAATTGTTTCGATCATCTCTATCGTTCTTATTAAGCTATTTACTCAATCTAGATTCATCCACTAAGGTTCCATAAGTTTGGATTTTAGTTTGTTTTTAAGTTTTTCCGATGATCGCTTTTGATTTTGTTTTCTGCTGAGATCTTATCTTTATGGGTTTAAAACTTTGAATTGAAATTCGTATTGGATCATTGTATGAGGTTCTGAAGTTGATTTTTACTTTGTTTATTTTGTGCCCATAAGGTATTCGATGATTTGCCTCAATGGGTTTTGTTGTAAACCAGAATTTTCTAAATCTTGTTACTTCTATTTAATAAAGATCAGATTTTGAAGTGTTTTTTCTCTTTATTTGTGTGGCAGTGGAGATATGAATGGAGATGGTTCTAGCTTCGAGCAGTGTTACCGTTGTTACCCAGTCACATTCATTGACAAGGTCTGATTTTTTTTGTAATCTCAGCTCTCTTTGATGATAAAGAAAGTGAAAGCGAAACGATTCTAATTTTAAACATTTTAAATGCAGGCACATCTTGAGAAGGGTGACAAAAGTAAATTTACTATTCTCTTCCTTTAGTCTCTCTATAGATAGTTTCTTTATGATATATATCTCTGAGAATACTTGTGAATCTCTGTAGTTATCATGCCTCCTTCTGCTCTCGATCGTCTTGGTGAGCCGTTAATACTGCATCTTCTAATGTTATTTTAGTCTTTGCTTGAACTTTTCTGCCTTATCAATAATGTTTGTGGTTTCTGAATTCATCTTTTCAGCTTCTTTGCATATTGAATACCCAATGTTGTTTCAACTGAGTAATGTTTCTGTTGAGAAGACCTCACATTGCGGTGTACTAGAATTCAGTGCAGATGAAGGCCTAGTTTACCTGCCGTATTGGGTATATACTTGATTTTCATCTTCTTGCTCTTTGTTTCTTTCACTAGTTTCTTAATCTGATCTTCTTTGTTTCTGTTGGCATTACTTATAGATGATGCAAAACATGTCTCTTCAAGAAGGAGACGTTATGCAAGTGAAGAATATCAGCTTGGTAAAAGGGACTTACATCAAGCTGCAGCCTCACACTCAAGATTTCTTGGACATTTCCAACCCAAAAGCCATGTTTGTAGTTTTGAAACTGTATCATTTTCACTCTATTGAATATGGTTTTGAAGTATGTGTTTCTTATCATTCTTCTTTTGCAGCTTGGAGACTACGCTTAGGAGCTACTCTTGCTTAACCACGGGTGATACAATTATGGTTCCGTATAACAACAAGCAATATTACATTAATGTGGTTGAGGCAAAACCTTCTTCAGCTGTGAGTATTATTGAAACGGATTGTGAGGTTGATTTTGCTCCTCCTCTTGACTACAAAGAACCTGAGAAGCTACAGAAGTTGACTCCCTCAAACAAACGACCTCTCGAAGGTTTGCTCATTTGGAAATTCTCTATTGAGTGTCGATACCGTTCTTTCTAGAAGTAATAACCCTCATGTTGTACTTCTTTTTACTTTTTTTGTTCATTGCAGTTAAAGAAGAAGAAGAACCTGCAAGCAAAGTTCCCAAATTCACGCCATTCACTGGATCAGGAAAACGTTTAGATGGAAAAGCACAAACACAAACTGAACCAGAAGATACAAAACAGCAAGAAAAGCCAACCGAAAATGGGAAATACGATGAGAAGCTGTCAGTTACCACACCACGGCAAAGATCAGGAAAGCTTGTCTTTGGTTCAAATAGCAAACCGTTAGCTGCAAAAGAAACAGTGAAAGTATTGTCTCTCTTCCCTGGATTATTCCATTTATGTGATTCACTTTAGTCATCCATTGAAGATAACTGATAAAGTATGGCTTCTAAATGTATATATAGGTTGCTCCAAAGAACATCGAGCAAGAGAGTTCAACAAAATCCGATGAAGCTAAGTTTCAAGTGTTCACAGGGAAGAAATACTCACTCAATGGTTAAAAACTGGGTTTAGACGGTTCTGCTGAAGATAATTTAATTGTTTAAGCATTCATACGTTCTCTCGTCAATTGGTTGGAACAGTTTGGATGGAACCTAAGCGACCAGGACCCAGAGGATACTACAGATTTGTCTGAAAGCTTTGGTTTTTTAACTTAGATGTGTCGGACCATCCTTTTAGGTTATATCAATATGTTCCTATCTGATATGTTTTGAGACTGAAAATGAACAAATCGGAAATTTCGACTCGGGTCTATAGTTTTTTTCAATTAATCATACACAACTTTCTCATTCATCGACCTTGGAAGATGTAACAATATCATCATCAATCCTTTATTACAAAACGCAAACTATAAGCAAAGTGAAATTAAAAAAAAAAAAAAAATCTGATTAGAAGCAATAATTTAGGAAACAAAAAAATATTCATTACTAACAAAGTTCCTCGTCACTAAAAAAAACATTGAAGAACAAGAGTGCTTTTTTTTTTTTTGTGTTATTGCATTCTGAATCAAAATTTACAATTGTAACAGTGACGTTTCTCCTACGTCGGAATAACCTGTGGTTCAAGCGGCGGAGGAACTCCTTCATCTACCACAGGCTCCACTGTCGGCGTGGGGGCCGAGTCCTTCTCACTCTCCTCAAACCCAGACTTGAACCGGTCATAATTAGTCACCTCGGCGGACTTAAATGGACGTTCACCTAAAACTTTTAAGAGATCATCCTGATGCAACACCTCTTTCTCTAGTAAAAGCTCGGCGATCTGAGCCACTTTCACTTTGTGTTCCTCAACCAGCTCTACTGTCCGCTCATAAGCTTTGGCCACCCATTCCCTAACTTCTTCATCTATGATAGCGCCGGTTTTATTGCTGTATGGTTTAGAGAAGTCGTAGCCATCATCCCTTGGTGGAAACGAGAGCAGCCCAACCTTGTCGCTGAAACCGTATACAGCTACTTGCGCGTACGTCATCTTTGTCACCTTCTCTAGATCATTCTGCGCACCCGTTGAGATTTTTCCTATCAATACCTGTATTGAAAAAGTACCAGAAACTTAACAGATCTTGAACCGTAGCAACATTCCTATATTTTCTGTTGAGGATCGAAGAGTGGAAATACGGTAATGAAAGTTTATCCCGTTTCTTTTCACTTAAATTTCGGGATGTCCATAATGTGAAATGTTGAAGTAGCAATTAGGGTTTTTACCTGCTCAGCTGCACGGCCACCAAGGGTCATGCAAGTCATGTCAAAGAGTTGCTCTTTGGTCATGAGAAGGTTTTCGTTTGGAACATATTGTGCAAATCCGAGAGCCGCTGTGCCACGTGGCACAATAGTCACTTTCAGCAACGGCTCTGCATGTTCGAGGAACCACCCTACAACCGCGTGACCAGATTCATGATATGCAACGGTACGTCGCTCCAACTTGCTTATCACCTGCTCATAAGTAATCAATTCAGATAAAACCATTTCCAAGCTTTTTGGAAAAAAAAACAGAGAAAATAGTAAAAAGCATTGTCGAAAAGGAGAAAGCATTTTACCCGGTTTTTCTTCTCCAGACCACCAATAACACGATCAATCGCAGATTCAAAGTGTGCCATTGTAACCGTGGCTCCTTCGTGTCTAGCAGCAATAAGAGCTGCTTCGTTACAGACATTTGCAATGTCAGCTCCAGCAAACCCGGGAGTGAGAGCCGCAAGCCTTTGAGAGTAATACGATGGCTCATGATCAAGTTTGATCTTCTTCAAGTAAATCTGGAAAATCTGATCACGCCCTTTAATATCAGGTTTATCAATGGTTATCTGGCGATCAAAACGGCCAGGCCTTAACAAAGCTTTATCCAAAATATCTGGTCTGTTGGTCCCAGCAAGAACCACAACTCCAGCGGTTGTACCAAAACCGTCCATTTCAACTAGCAACTGATTCAGAGTGCTTTCACGCTCATCGTTTCCACCTAAACCTCCACGACCTCTTGCCCGACCAATCGCATCAATCTCATCTATAAATATAATGCTTGGTGCAGATTGTCTTGCCTCTTGGAACAAATGTCTCACCCTCGAAGGCCCAACACCAACAAACATCTCCATGAAATCTGAGCCAGAAATAGACAGAAATGGTACACCCGATTCTCCCGCTGTGGCTTTTGCTAAAAGGGTCTTTCCGGTTCCAGGCGGACCGACTAAAAGTGCCCCTTTCGGAATTTTAGCACCCAAATCTTCATACTTCTTTGGGTTCTTAAGGAAATGTACAAACTCCATAATTTCTTGTTTAGCCTCGTCACATCCAGCAACATCCTTAAAATAAATCTGGCGAAGAAAACAACAAAAATTCAGTTTATAAATTCCAATATGATCATTCAAAAAAAGGCAAAACTCTAACCTTATTCTTGGAATGTTTATCCGCTCTTGTTATTGTGGCTTTGCCTATATTGAAAATTCCACGACCATTCTTACCGCCAGTTCCTCCTACACCCAATCCACCTTGCATCCGTCTCGCCCCATAGATAAGAGTACCCAAGAGCAATAAAGTCGGTGCAAACCTCATGAACTCTTGATACCAGACCATTTCAGAGACGTATGTGACAGGAACATATTCATGACGATCAACACCTAGCGCTTCTTGAGCTTCTTCGAGTTTCTCCTCAAAAGAATCAACACTACCGATATTGAAGTAGTACTTATACTGACCACCAGTTCTTTTAGCAGGAATACCATTACCATTGCCATGGACAACGTCAGTTGTTTGTTGGTCTTTCGGTGAGCTCCTCACATAGACTTTTGCTACTGATTTGTTTGAAACATCTATGTGGTCAACTAGACCAGGCTCGAGAAGCTTGTTTTTGAACTCCTGGAAACTAATCTGAAACAAAAAAAAAGGTAGCATGGGATATTAGTGGACAACATACAAGTAGAACCACATCTGTAGTTCCATATCCAAGAATATCACAAAGCTTAGTTTAAATATACTTGCCTGTTGTTGGTCCCCAGAGCCAAACGAGAAAGAAGAAAAGAACACAGCAAGAGCTAATAGAGGAATCAGCAAATTTTGGAATCGATTCATGAACATATCTCCCACGTTCTCATTTTCATTCTTCTCTGAACCTTCTGTATTGCAAAAAAAACATATTCACTAATTAGAATCCTTTAGTAGCACCAACAGGTCAGTATCTTCAAAAGCTAAGTTGTTATAGAAATGACTCCACAAAATACTGACCATAACTTCTAAAAAGCTAGGTTACATTCATTGGCGAGAATTAAGACTCCGGTAAAAGCGAAAACAATGGTATAAAGATGATTCAAACTTCTATATATCCCTAAGTTTCCAATACATAAGAAAACTATAGAATCTCTGTTATTACCTTTATGCTCTGATTTCTGATCACTCTTGGGTTCTTGCTTTGTATCTTTAGGAAAATAGTTTTCATAATCTACACAAATCATCAAAATGTAGACAACAACAAAAACACTAATTTAGAATCAATTCTCAACACTTAATTCAAAAGGTTAGGATTTTTGCAAACATACTCTTCTTCTTAGGAGCTTCATCAGAGAAGAATCTACGAATCTTTGGATTAGCAAAAACACCAATCAAATCATAATTGACTAAACCCTTCCGTGAAGCTAAAGAAGCAAAGTGTCTTCTTATAAACCCTAATCCACCTTCCACTTGATTCACAGACGCCGCCTCAAGACCCGGCGAAGTAAGCAGCCTTGCCTCGTTTAACACCGCCGATCTAACCCCACCACCGTACAAAAACCCCTGATTTCATATATAAACAAGAATCAGGAGAGAAACAAAAAAAAACACAAATTGAGAACGAATCTGAGAAGTAATCAATGAAATGAAACAAACCCTTGAACGAGAAATGGAGCGACTAAGCTTAGAGAAGAAGATCATTGTCGTATAGGAATCACGAAGAACAAAACTTAGTTCGCATAATAGTTAAGAAAAATGGCGAAATCGAAGATCTGAAACGAAAAAATGCAAACTTTTTTTATTGGGTTTGTGGAATCAAAAATCAAACAAGATAAGAAGAGATTAGGGTTTTTGATTGGGGAAAATAAAAGTTTGGGTTTTTAATTTTTTTTTGTATATCTGAAGTTTATCGAGAGATAAGAAGGTTTATGATATTATGTCTCAACTCTGTACTTGTTGTTTGTTTCTGTGGATTATCCTTGAACCGGTTTTGTTTTACAGAATCCAACTTGTACTTACCGGTTTGTTTAAACCGTTTTTTGGTTTTTGAATCTCAAACCGATTTCCAAGAAGAAGTTTGGTGTTTGGTTCATGGATTAGAGAGGCTTATTAGAGCTTTTATTTAAATCAGATACTCGAGTACAAGTATGGGCCAAATGTTACACGTCTTGGGCCTTGTAGAACAAATGGGCTAGCTTTTGTCATGTAATAAGAAAGAGTGTCATAAATTGAATTATTATTTTTGTTGTCAACACATTTTAATTAACAAGAGTCAGTCCTGAAGAATGTTGTTTATATAAGTGATATAATGCGGTTCGGTACGAACTTTTCGTGCCAAATTATCCGTTTTTACATTTGCACTTCAAATCATAAATTGAATTAAACAATAAAAATTGAATATAAAAGTGATGAGATATAAACTTGAACAAAAATTTTCCTCCAAATCACTTACAATCCCTATGTAAAAAGATACACTCATGGAAGAAAAAATTATGATGTTTGTTTCAAGTTTTTCTTTCTTCGGTTTGCTTTCTTCATATAAATTTATTTAGTTTTAAATGATTATTTGTGCCAAAATTTGATATTTTCATAACTATTAAATGTTACAATATATTTTGCAATTAAAATCTTGATTTTAGATTTAAATGATTTTGGAGATAAAATTTGTTCAACCTTCCTTTCATCATCTTTAGTTATGATGATTAACTGGATAATTTTGTGACAAAATCTATATTCTTTATTGGAACTTAAATCGGATACATGCAAGAGGCGAGATGAGAAAAAAAGCGTAATAGGTAGACATCTCAGGGCCAAAAACGTTCAATTTTCTCCGACGTATGTTGGAATCAGTACGACTGAATAAGTTTTCTAGACCATCGCTCGGATTTATCTGATTTTTATTTTGTTCGTAGCTTTTCGCAAGCGGATATGTGAAATAGTTGTGAGAAATTTCAAATTTATTTATTTTCGATGATCACAATCAGTATCTCAACATCTCTCGAGGTGATCTGATTTTGATTTTATTTCACTGCTTTTTGCAAACTGATGTTGTGAAATCTGGTGATATATATATCTCAAATTTTCGTTTATATGAAGATATTCGATTCTAAGTTTTGACAAGAATCACGTTGATGTTATAGACACAAACTCAAATCACCTGGGATGAGAAAAAGTTTTGTTTTCGTGAAAAAATAAAATGAATTCTCAAATTTAGGTGGATCTGATGCTATATGATAGTTACGAGAGAAAAATAGATCATCAACTTTAAATTTTTTTTTTTTTGAATGAATGTTAAAATTATATTCACCAAACAATTGTTGGTGCATTGAGTGCGACGATTCTAGACAGAAAGATTGATGTTCTCTATTCTACAAAAAAAAAAAAAAAAAACTTAGATTCGAGTGGAAAACCAATAAATGAGAAGATTCTCATATTTCTGATTTCCTGAGTTGCGAAGAAAAGTGATTATGTTTCGAATGGTCTTATCGATGGTTCTCTCTAACTGATGGGTTGTCCTTGAATTTTTTCCATGCCGACGGTTGTTTCTTTCTTTCCAAATTGTGTGAATGGTGGTTTGAAGTGCATACCTTAGGAGTAACAGTAGATTCGCTTCTAGTTCTGTTCTGGCAATGAGTGTAGTAAGTTGGTTCCAATTCGATGTGTAGCGATCTCCCAGGACACCTTTCGTTATCTTTTTCCAGATTTGACTTGAATAGCAATAGTTGAAGAAGATGTGATTTCTGGTTTCAATAGGGTCTTTGTAACGCCCCGACCGTCCCTACCAGTGGGCCCCACGTCCTCTCTCGGACCCATGGGCCCACTCCTGTCCGACGGCCGGTCCGTTACGTCCGGAAGGCTTTAAAGACTTGGTTACTGACCCTATAAATCACCACATGATCTTTTCCTGTGTTTTGTCCTCACTCACACAGTTCCGACAATCATTTCCCGGAAGGTCATCCATCCTGAAACTACTCCAGCCCAAACACGCTTAACTGTGAAGTTCTCTTAGAACAGTTGATCAAAAAGATAAGTGCATTTTGGTGACATAGATGGCCAAATCAATTCTTTTAAAGCTTTGCGCTGGCACCACCTTATCCTTTATATGGAAGAAAGATGTTTCAATTGATCCACCATTAATTTTGATTTTTTCTTAAGAGTTTATAGACTTGCTAATATTGAATCCATTGTATATTCGTTTTTGACATCCCATTAATTATGGCCCAATGTTTTTGTTTAATTGGAAAGTTACAAAAAGTCCACAAGAAATAACTATTTAATTTTTACCTAATTAGAAAAGTCCATCTAACCAACGAACCCTAATATGTAATAACCTAAAGCATAATTAACCTAGACAGTTTTCTACATAACTTAAACCATTGATTGTATCCCATTACAACAATCAATATATTATTCATCTCTACTACGAGTAAGTACATATTTAGATTTAGATTTAGATTTTAATTTTGTTTTATTGATTTTAATTATATTCTTTCTAATTGTATCAACATATATTTGTACTATTCTTTTTTTTTTTAATCTTTGTATCTAGATATATGATTTAACAAAAATATGAAGTATGAGCTATAATCTTCCTTTCTTTTATGATTATATAAAGCTTTGGACATTTGGTTTTTTTACGAAAGATCACACGATGTTTTTGTAAGATGTTCTATTTTATAAAAAGAAATTGTAGGATATTTTATACGTTAATGAATTTTTTTTATTTTATTAGTTATCATTTGACCCAAGTAAAAAAAATTCTTCGGTCCGCCACTGATAACTTGTTCCTCATAAACAATGTATAGGACCTTGATATCAAGCAAAAACTAAACATCGAAATCGTGGCACCTTAAACCATCGTAATGTATATTTTTTGGGGATGAACTGTCTATTTATCGACATATTATATATATATATATATATATATATATATATATATATATATATATATATATATGTTATAAGAAGATGTAGTGTGTATTTTTGAATTACGTCGATTAGATTGAAAATATATAGGTTGAAACATATACGTTTCGGCTACTTCACGTACCTAATCCAAAGGAATATCCAAAGGAATATCGATCGTGTTAATCCCCAGTACTCTCCCCTCTTTTCTTTGTACACGTTTTAGTCGTCTCACATCAAATCCTCTACATTTAAAAAAAAATAAAAGAAAATAAGAAACAATAAGATTGAGAGAGACACTTCCAAGAACAAATCATGTGAAAACTTAGAGGTAGGGATAAATTAAAGAGAGACAAGAGGGGACAAATTGGATAAGAAAGGGTTGGAGCATGTTAAATCTCTGTCCACCAAACCCTTGAAATGGCTTAGAGACTCTTAAGTGGACCAATATTTTACTCTGTAACGAATCTCTGATTCTCTGACTTTAGACAGAGACAAATCGGGGACAATGAATTAGATTCATTTCAATCTTCTTCGTTTTATTGAAGTCGAGAGTTCCACGTAAGTTTAGTTACAAAGTGTGTTAGGTCTCATGCACATACCCGACTGTGGACACGTGGCGATTCGTTTTATCACGAGACTACAAATATGTTTTGTCTCCTTTCCACGGCTCAACGATTTATGTACTTCCGTGGTTGCTGTGACATTCAATAATATTGATAATGGTTATCTAATTCGAATTATTTAGATTATAGTAGTAAATACTAAATACGATTACTTACTTATGACCTTTATTTTTTTGGTCTGAACTTTTCCATATGATTTTGTATTAACTCATAATATAAGTACTACCAATTAAAACCTTACAAGTAAATAAATATAATACGTTTGCTTCCGTATAAACAATTACGTCTACCTCAGCTCATTATATGTCTGAACGGAATCTTAAACAAATATCCGAAATTATTGCATTGTAGGATGATGCTAAAGAAGAAAAAATATACTACCACGTACTCTAAAGGATAAATCGAATACTTAGGATATCCAAGAGGTTAAAAAAGAAAATTCAAATTCCAAATTTGGCGTTTGCTTCGGATCCAAACATAAACGCAAATATTTCAACGCAACTGTCACAACATGATAGCTAGTTGGAAATGTACATTAGAGTTCAAGATATTTCAATACGTCCAAAGCAATAAAAATAAGATTCACTGAATTGAAAAAAAAAAAAAAAAAGATTCATTGAATTGCAACTTTACATAAGATTTTTGAGATAACAAATTTACAAAAGAAAAAGGGCCAAATTGGAGGCCAATTTTAAAGTTAAAAAGAAAAATCTCTACTAATAGAGAAATTAAAGATGACTTATTCGACTAAAAAAAAAAAATCCAACTATGCCTTAGGCTTAAATCGGGGTTACTCTTATTGGTAAACCCTTCTTGGGTACAGGGAAAGGACCATACTGTATACCTTCTTCACCTCCTATCACTTCCCATCTGCAAATTAAAACCCATAACTTCATCAATTATTATTCAATCATAAGTAAATTATTTGATAAATAATAATAGTAAGATTGAAATATACAAACAAATTGATATCAAACGAGATTCACATCTTTTGTGTTGGACCATATATAGAGTAAGTACTAATTTGACAGGTCGCCGATTCACATGTTTTGAGAAGTATTTTGGTACTACAAATTATTGTTGTCAACAAATATCTACTCGTATGTATTCATGAATGGAAACAAAATCTAAGATTGATTCTTATATTACAGCTAGCAATCTCTTTCCAAGTCTTTACAATCACAAGTGTTTTTTTTTTCTCGTCATGGGTTCATATGGACCCTTCGTGATCACAAGTTCAAACTAAACATCATATCTTCAACAAAACACGTAGTTAATATACCAAAATAAAAGTTTTTTTTTTTTTCTTTTTTACCAAAATAAAAGTTTTAAACGCATATATGACATCATTAAGTGATGACGACTTACAATAGTTTTGAAGCAATGTAGTATTATTATAGATGAGGACTTGAAGAGAACTGTGTTATGGTTAATTCTATCAATTATAAGAGACTTGTGTTAT